GGGGTACCATCACAGATTTCGGGCGATTTATCCGAAATGCCATTTTCTTTCGATTCTGGAGGCTACAGATCACAGAACTAGGCTAACGCTATTCTCCACCGATAATGAAGTCTATTGATCCTATTCTCCACGGATGATAAGTCCGTTAAGCATCGATTTAGGCCAATTTATTTTCGGATGGCATTTTCGTAATTTCTTGGGCGCTGAAATGCCATTTTCATTGGATATTGAAGGCTACAGATCACGGATTTGGCCTGAGGCTATTCTCCAACGATGATTGAGTCCATTAAGCACCGATTTGGGCGGATTTATTCCGGGTCAATTTTTGGCAGATTCCAAAGGGGTGCCATCACAGATTTCGGGCGATTTATCAGAAATGCCATTTTCTTCCGATTCTGGAGGCTACAGATCACGGAATCAGGTCGAGGCTATTCTGCATCGATAATGAAGTCTATTGATCCTATTCTCCACGGATGATAAGTCCGTTAAGCATCGATTTGGGCCAATTTATTTTTGGATGGCATTTTTGTAATTTCTTGGGCGACGAAAGGCCATTTTCATTGGATATTGAAGGCTGCAGATCATGGATTAGCCCTGAGGCTATTCTCCAACGATGATTGAGTGCATTAAGCACAATTTTGGGCGGATTTATTCCGAGTCAATTTTTGGCAGATTCCAAATGGGTACCATCACAGATTTCGGGCGATTTAGCCGAAATGTCATTTTCATTCGATTCTGGAGGCTACAGATCACAGAATCAGGCTGAGGCTATTCTCCACCGATAATGAAGTCTATTGATCCTATTCTTCATGGATGATAAGTCCGTTAAGCATCGATTTGGGCCAATTTATTTTCAGATGGCATTTTCGTAATTTCTTGGGCGACAAAAGGCCACTTTAATTGGATATTGAAGGCTACAGATCACGGATTCGGCCTGAGGCTATTCTCAAACAATGATTGAGTCCATTAAGCACCGATTTGGGGGGATTTATTCCGGGTCAATTTTTGGCAGATTCAAAAGGGGTACCATCATAGATTTAGGGCGATTTATCCGAAATGCCATTTTCTTTCGATTCTGTAGGTTACAGATCACGGAATCAGGTCGAGGCTATTCTCCACCGATAATGAAGTCTATTGATCCTATTCTCCACGGATGATAAGTCCGTTAAGCATCAATTTGGGCCAATTTATTTTCGGATGGCATTTTTGTAATTTCTTGGGCACTGAAAGGCCATTTTCATTGGATATTGAAGGCTACAGATCACGGATTTGGCCTGAGGCTATTCTCCAACGATGATTGAGTCCATTAAGCACCGATTTGGGCGGATTTATTCCGGGTCAATTTTTGGCAGATTCCAAAGGGGTGCCATCACAGATTTCGGGCGATTTATCAGAAATGCCATTTTCTTCCGATTCTGGAGGCTACAGCTCACGGAATCAAGTCGAGGCTATTCTGCATCGATAATGAAGTCTATTGATCCTATTCTCCACGGATGATAAGTCCGTTAAGCATCGATTTGGGCCAATTTATTTTTGGATGGCATTTTTGTAATTTCTTGGGCGACGAAAGGCCATTTTCATTGGATATTGAAGGCTACAGATCACGGATTCGGCCTGAGGCTATTCTCCAACGATGATTGAGTCCATTAAGCACCGATTTGTCCGGATTTATTCTGGGTCAATTTTTGGCAGATTCCAAAGGGGTATCATCATAGATTTCGGGCGATTTATCCGAAATGCCATTTTCTTTCGATTCTGGAGGCTACAGATCACGGAACCAGGCTGAGGCTATTCTCCACCGATAATGAAGTCTATTGATCATATTCTCCACGGATGATATGCCCGTTAAGCATCGATTTGGGTCAATTTATTTTTGGATGGCATTTTCGTAATTTCTTGGGCGACGAAAGGCCATTTTCATTGGATATTGATACAGATCACGGATTCGGCCTGAGGCTATTCTCCAACGATGATTGAGTCACTTAAGCACCGATTTGGGCGGATTTATTCCGGGTAAATTTTTGGCAGATTCCAAAGGGGTACCATCACAGATTTCGGGCGATTTATCCGAAATGCCATTTTCTTTCGATTCTGGAGGCTACAGATCACGGAATCAGGCCGAGGCTATTCTCCACCGATAATGAAGTCTATTGATCCTATTCTTCATGGATGATAAGTCCGTTAAGCATCGATTTGGGCCATTTTATTTTCAGATGGCATTTTCGTAATTTCTTGGGCGACAAAAGGCCACTTTAATTGGATATTGAAGGCTACAGATCACGGATTCGGCCTGAGGCTATTCTCCAACAATGATTGAGTCCATTAAGCACCGATTTGGGGGGATTTATTCCGGGTCAATTTTTGGCAGATTCAAAAGTGGTACCATCATAGATTTAGGGCGATTTATCCGAAATGCCATTTTCTTTCGATTCTGTAGGCTACAGATCACGGAATCAGGTCGAGGCTATTCTCCACCGATAATGAAGTCTATTGATCCTATTCTCCACGGATGATAAGTCCGTTAAGCATCGATTTGGGCCAATTTATTTTCGGATGGCATTTTTGTAATTTCTTGGGCGCTGAAAGGCCATTTTCATTGGATATTGAAGGCTACAGATCACGGATTTGGCCTGAGGCTATTCTCCAACGATGATTGAGTCCATTAAGCACCGATTTGGGCGGATTTATTCCGGGTCAATTTTTGGCAGATTCCAAAGGGGTGCCATCACAGATTTCGGGCGATTTATCAGAAATGCCATTTTCTTCCGATTCTGGAGGCTACAGCTCACGGAATCAGGTCGAGGCTATTCTGCATCGATAATGAAGTCTATTGATCCTATTCTCCACGGATGATAAGTCCGTTAAGCATCGATTTGGGCCAATTTATTTTTGGATGGCATTTTTGTAATTTCTTGGGCGACGAAAGGCCATTTTCATTGGATATTGAAGGCTACAGATCACGGATTCGGCCTGAGGCTATTCTCCAACGATGATTGAGTCCATTAAGCACCGATTTGTCCGGATTTATTCCGGGTCAATTTTTGGCAGATTCCAAAGGGGTATCATCATAGATTTCGGGCGATTTATCCGAAATGCCATTTTCTTTCGATTCTGGAGGCTACAGATCACGGAACCAGGCTGAGGATATTCTCCACCGATAATGAAGTCTATTGATCATATTCTCCACGGATGATATGCCCGTTAAGCATCGATTTGGGCCAATTTATTTTTGGATGGCATTTCGTAATTTCTTGGGCGACGAAAGGCCATTTTCATTGGATATTGATACAGATCACGGATTCGGCCTGAGGCTATTCTCCAACGATGATTGAGTCACTTAAGCACCGATTTAGGCGGATTTATTCCGGGTAAATTTTTGGCAGATTCCAAAGGGGTACCATCACAGATTTCGGGCGATTTATCCGAAATGCCATTTTCTTTCGATTCTGGAGGCTACAGATCACGGAATCAGGCCGAGGCTATTCTCCTCCGATAATGAAGTCTATTGATCCTATTCTCCATAGATGATAAGTTCGTTAAGCATAGATTTGGGCCAATTTATTTTTGGATGGCATTTTCGTAATTTCTTGTGCGACGAAAGGCCATTTTCATTGGATATTGAAGGCTACAAATCACGGATTCGGCCTGAGGCAATTCTCCAACGATGATTGAGTCCATTAAGCAACGATTTGGGCGGATTTATTCCGGGTCAATTTTCTGCAGATTCCGAAGGGGTACCATCACAGATTTCGGGCGATTTATCCGAAATGCCATTTTCTTTCGATTCTGGATGCTACAGATCACGGAATCAGGCCGAGGCTATTCTCCACCGATAATGAAGTCTATTGATCCTATTCTCCACGGCTGATAAGTCCGTTAAGCATCGATTTGGGACCATTTATTTTCAGATGGCATTTTCGTAATTTCTTGGGCGACGAAAGGCCATTTTCTTTGGATATTGAAGGCTACAGATCACGGATTCGGCCTGAGGCTATTCTCCAACGATGATTGAGTCCATTAGGCAGCGATTTGGGCGGATTTATTCCGGGTCAATTTTTGGCAGATTCCAAAGTGGTACCATCACAGTTATCGGGCGATTTATCCGAAATGCCGTTTTCTTTCGATTCTGGAGGCTACAGATCATGGAATCAGGTCGAGGCTATTCTCCACCGATAATGAATATTGATCTTATTCTCCACGGATGATAAGTCCGTTAAGCATCGATTTGGGCCAATTTATTTTCAGATGGCATTTTCGTAATTTCTTGGGCGACGAAAGGCCATTTTCTTTGGATATTGAAGGCTACAGATCACGGATTCGTCCTGAGGCAATTCTCCAACGATGATTGAGTCCATTAAGCAACGATTTGGGCGGATTTATTCCGGGTCAATTTTTGGCAGATTCCAATGGGGTACCATCACATATTTCGGGCGATTTATCAGAAATGCCATTTTCTTTCAATTCCGGAGGCTACAGATCACGAAATCTGGCCGAGGCTATTCCCCACCGATAATGAAGTCTATTGATCTTATTCTCCACGGATGATAAGTCCGTTAAGCATCGATTTGGGCCAATTTATTTTCGGATGGCATTTTCGTAATTTCTTGGGCGACGAAAGGCCATTTTCATTTGATATTGAAGGCTACAGATCACGGATTCGGACTGAGGCTATTCTCCAACGATGATTGAATCCATTAAGCACCGATTTGGGAGGATTTATTCTGGGTCAATTTTTGGCAGATTCCAAAGGGGTACCATCACAAATTTAGGCGATTTATCAGAAATGCCATTTTCTTTCGATTCTAGAGGCTACAGATCACGGAATCAGGCCGAGGCTATTCTCCACCGATAATGAAATCTATTGATCCTATTCTCCATGGATGATAAGTCTGTTAAGCATCGATTTGGGCCAATTTATTTTCGAATGGCATTTTCGTAATTAATTGGGCTACGAAAGGCCATTTTCATTGGATATAGAAGGCTACAGATCACGGATTCGTCCTGAGGCTATTCTCCAACGATGATTGAGTCCATTAAGAACCGATTTGGGCGGATTTATTCCTGGTCAATTTTTGGCAGATTCCAAAGGGGTACCATCACAGATTTCGGGCGATTTATCCGAAATGCCATTTTCTTTCGATTCTGGATGCTACAGATCACGGAATCAGGCCGAGGCTATTCTCCACCGATAATGAAGTCTATTGATCCTATTCTCCACGGCTGATAAGTCCGTTAAGCATCGATTTGGGACCATTTATTTTCGGATAGCATTTTCGTAATTTCTTGGGCTACGAAAGGCCATTTTCATTGGATATTGAAGGCTACAGATCACGGATTCGGCCTGAGGCAATTCTCCAACGATGATTGAGTCCATTAAGCAACGATTTGGGCGGATTTATTCCTGGCCAATTTTTGGCAGATTCCAAAGGGGTACCATCACATATTTCCGGCGATTTATTCGAAATGTCATTTTCATTCGATTCTGCAGGCTACAGATCGTGGAATCAGGCCGAGGCTATTCTCCACCGATAATGAAGTCTATTGATCCTATTCTCCACAAATGATAAGTCCGTTAAGCATCGATTTGGGCCAATTTATTTTCGGATGACATTTTCGTAATTTCATGGCTGACGAAAGGCCTTTTTCTCTGAATATTGAAGGCTACAGATCACGGATTCGGCCTGAGGCTATTCTCCAACGATTATTGAGTCCATTAAGCACCGATTTGGGCGGATTTACTCCTGGTCAATTTTTGGCAGATTCCAAAGGGGTACCATCACAGATTTCGGCCGATTTATCCGAAATGCCATTTTCTTTCGATTATGGAGGCTACAGATCACGTAATCAGGCCGAGGCTATTCCCCACCGATAATGAAGTCTATTGATCCTATTCTCCACGGATGATAAGTCCATTAAGCATCGATTTGGGCCAATTTATTTTCGGATGGCATTTTCGTAATTTCTTGGGCGAGAAAGGCCATTTTCATTGGATATTGAAGGCAACAGATCACGGATTCGGCCTGAGGCTATTCTCCAACGATGATTGAGTCCATTAAGCACCTATTTGGACGGATTTATTCCGGGTCAATTTTTGGAAGATTCCAAAGGGGTACCATCACCGATTTCTGGCGATTTTTCTGAAATGCCATTTTCTTTCGATTTTGGAGGCTACAGATCACAGATTCAACCAGAGGCTATTCTCCACCAATAATGAAGTCTAGTTATCATATTCTCCGCAAATGATGAAGTCCGTTAAGCACCGATTTGGGCAAATTATTTTGGGAAGACATTTTAGTAATGTTTAGAGAGATTTTTTTCGAAAGGCCATTTTTCTGGAATTTTGAACGCTACAGATCACGGATTCTGCCTGAGGCTATTCTTCAATGATGATTAAGTCCATTAGGCATCGATTTGGGTGGATATCTTCCGGGTCCATTTTTGGCAGTTCCCAAAGGTTTACCATCACTGATTTCGGCAAATTTTCTTTCAATTTTGGAGGCTACAGATCACAGATTCATCCTGAGGCTATTCTCCATCGATAATGAAGTCTATTGATCATATTCTCCGTATATTATTAAGTCCAGTAGGCACCAATTTGGGCAAATTAATTTTGGGATGAGATTTTCATAATTTTTAGGGTAAATTTTTCGAAAGGCCATTTTCCTTAGATTTTGAAGGCTAGAGATCATGAATTCGGCCTGAGGCTATTCATCAACGATAAATAAGACCATTAAGTAGCGATTTGGGCGGATATCTTCCGGTTCCATTTTTGGCAGATCCCAAAGGGTCACCATCACCGATTTCGGGCGATTTTACCGAAATGCCATTTTCTTTCGATTTTGGAGGCTACAGATCACAGATTCAACCCGAGGCTATTCTCCACCAATAATGAAGTCTATTGATCATATTCTCCGAAAATGATTAAGTCCATTAAGCACCGATTTGAGCGAATAAATTTTTGGATTGCATTTTCATAATTTTTTAGCGATTTTTTTAAAAGCGATTTTCCTTGGATTTTGAAGGCTACATATCACGAATTCGGCCTGAGGCTATTCATCAACGATAATTAAGTCCATTAAGCAGCGATTTAGGCATATATCTTTCGGGTCCATTTTTGGCAGATCGCAAAGGGGTACCATCACCGATTTCCGGCGATTTTCCCGAAATGCCATTTTCTTTCGATTTTGGAGGCTACATATCACAGATTTAGCCCGAGGCTATTCTCCACCGATAATGAAGTCTATTAATCATATTATCCGCAAATTATTAAGTCCATTAAGCACCAATTTGGGCGAAATAATTTTAGGATGACATTTTCATAATTTTTTGGGTGATTTTTTTCAAAAGTCCATTTTCCTTGGATTTTGAAAACTACAGATCACGGATTCGCCCTGAGGCTATTCTTCAAAGATGATTAAGTCCATTAAGCAACGAATTGGGCGGATATCATCCGGGTCCATTTTTGACAGATCCCAAAGGGGTACCATCACCGATTTCGGGCAATTTTCCCGAAATGCCATTTTCTTTCGATTTTGGAGGCTACAGATCACAGATTCAAACCGAGGCTATTTTCCACAGATAATGAAGTCTATTGATCATATTCTCCGCAAATGATTAAGTTCATTAAGCACCGATTTGGGCGAATTAATTTTGGTATTGCATTTTCATAATTTTTGGGCGATTTTTTTTAAAAGCAATTTTCCTTGGATTTTTAAAGGCTACAGATCACGAATTCGGCCTGAGGCTATTCATCAACGATAATTAAGTCCATTAAGCAGCGATTTGGGCGGATATCTTCTAGGTCCATTTTTGGCAGATCCCAAAGGGGTACCATCACCGATTTCGGGCGATTTTCCCGAAATGCCATTTTTTCGATTTTGGAGGTTACAGATCACATATTCAACCCGAGGCTATTCTACCCCGATAATGAAGTCTATTGATCATATTCTCCGCAAATGATTAAGTCCATTAAGCACCGATTTGGGCAAAATAATTTTGGGATGACATTTCATAAATTTTCGGGGCAATTTTTTTTAAAAGCCATTTTCCTTGGATTTTGAAGTCTACAGATCACGAATTCGGCCTGAGGCTATTCATTAACGATAATTAAGTCCATTAAGCAGCGATTTGGGCGGATATCTTCTGGGTCTATTTTTGGCAGAACCCAAAGGGATACCATCACCGATTTCGAGCGATTTTCCCGAAATGCCATTTTCTTTCGATTTTAGAAGCTACATATCACATATTCAGCCCGAGGTTATTGTCCACCGATAATGAATTGTATTGATCATATTCTCCATAAATTATTAAGCCCATTAAGCGCCAATAGGGCGAATTAATTTTGGGATGGCATTTTCATAATTTTTTGGGTGATTTTTTTCGAAATGCCATTTTCCTTGGATTTTGAAGGCTACATATCACGAATTCGGCCTGAGGCTATTCATCAACGATAATTAAGACCATTAAACTGCGATTTGGGCGGATATGTTCTGATTCCATTTTTGGCAGATCGCAAATGGTTACCATCACCGATTTCGGGCGATTTTCCCGAAATGTCATTTTCTTTCTATTTTGGAGGCTACAGATCACAGATTCAACCCGAGGCTATTCTCCATAGATAATGAAGTCTATTGATCATATTCTCCGCAAATGATTAAGTCCATTAAGCACCGATTTGAGCAAATAAATTTTCGGATTGCATTTTCATTATTTTTTGGCGATTTTTTTAAAAACCATTTTCCTTGGAGTTTGAAGGCTACAGATCACGAATTCGGCCTGAGGCTATTCATCAACGATAATTAAGTCCATTAAGCAGCGATTTAGGCGGATATCTTCTGGGTCCATTTTTGGCAGATCACAAAGGGGTACCATCACCGATTTCGTTCGATTTTCCCGAAATGCCATTTTCTTTCGATTTTGGCGGCTACATATCACAGATTCAGCCCGAGGCTATTCTCCACCGATAATGAAGTCAATTGATCATATTATCCGTAAATTATTAGGTCCATTAAGCACCAATTTGGGCGAATTAATTTTGGGATGACATTTTCATAATTTTTTGGGTGAGTTTTTCCGAAAGACCATTTTCCTTGGATTTTGAAGGCTACAGATCACGGATTCGCCCTGAGGCTATTCTTCAAAGATGATTAAGCAACGAATTGGGCGGATATCATCCTGGTCCATTTTTTACAGATCCCAACCATCACCGATTTCGGGCAATTTTCCCGAAATGCCATTTTCTTTCGATTTTGGAGGCTACATATCACAGATTCAAACCGAGGTTATTCTCCACAGATAATGAAGTCTATTGATCATATTCTCCGCAAATGATTAAGTTCATTAAGCACCGATTTGGGCGAATAAATTTTGGTATTGCATTTTCATAATTTTTGGGCGATTTTTTTTAAAAGCCATTTTCCTTGGATTGTTAAAGGCTACAGATCACGAATTCGGCCTGAGGCTATTCATCAACGATAATTAAGTCCATTAAGCAGCGATTTGGGAGGATATCTTCTGGGTCCATTTTTGGCAGATCCCAAAAGGGTACCATCACCAATTTCGGGCGATTTTCCCGAAATGCCATTTTCTTTCGATTTTAGAGGCTACAGATCACAGATTCAACCCGAGGCTATTCTCCACCGATAATGAAGTCTATTTGTCATATTCTCCGCAAATGATTAAGTCCGTTAAGCACCGATTTGGGCGAATTATTTTGGGAAGACATTTTCGTAATGTTTTGGGCGATTTTTTTCGAAAGGCCATTTTCCTTGGATTTTGAAGGCTACAGATCACGGATTCGGCCTGAGACTATTCTTCAATGATGATTAAGTCCATTAGGCATCGATTTGGGTGGATATCTTCCAGATCCATTTTTGGCAGATCCCAAAGGGGTACCATCACCGATTTCGGCCAATTTTCCCGCAATGCCATTTTCTTCGATTTTGGAGGCTACATATCACAGATTCAGCCCGAGGCTATTGTCCACCGATAATGAATTGCATTGATCATATTCTCCGTAAATTATTAAGTCCTTTAAGAACCAATTAGGGCGAATTAATTTTGGGATGGCATTTTCATAATTTTTTGGGCGATTTTTTTGGAAAGACCACTTTCCTTGGATTTGGATGGCTACAGATCAGGAATTTGGCCTGAGGCTATTCATCAACGATAATTAATCCATTAAGCAGCGATTTAAGCGGATATCTGCCGGGTCCATTTTTGGCAGATCACAAAGGGGTACCATCACCGATTTCGAGCGATTTTCCCGAAATGCCATTTTCTTTCGATTTTGGAGTCTGAGATCACAGATTCGGCCTAAGGTTATTCTTCAACGATAATTAAGTCCATTAATCATCGATTTGGGAGGATATCTTTCGGGTCCATTTTTGGCAGATCCTTAAGTGGTACCATCACCGATTTCGGATGGTTTTCCGGAAGTGCCATTTTCTTTCAATTTTGGAGGCTACAAAACACAGATTTACCCCGAGGCTATTCTCCACCGATAATGAAGTCTATTGATCATATTCTACGTAAATTATTAAGTCCATCAAGCACAAATTTATGCGAATTAATTTTGAGATGTCATTTCATAATTTTTTGAGAAATTTTTTGCGAAAGGCCATTTTCCTTGGATTTTGAAGGCTACAGATCACGAATTCTTCCTGAGGCTATTCATCAACGATAATTAAGACCATTAAGCAGTGATTTGGGATGATATCTTCTGGGTCCATTTTTGGCAGATCCCAAAGATGTACCATCACAGAGTTCGGGGGATTTTCCCGAAATGTCATTTTCTTTCGATTTTGGAAGCTGCAGATCACAGAATTGGCCTAACGTTATTCTTCAACGATGATTAAGTCGATTAAGCAGCGATTTGGGCGGATATCATCCGATTCCATTTTTGGCAGATCCCAATGGGGTACCATCACCGATTTGGGGCGATTTTCCTGAAATGCCATTTTCTTTCGATTTTGGAGGCTACATCACAGATTCAACCCGAGGCTATTCTCCAATGATAATGAAGTCTATTGATCATATTCTCCGCAAATGATTAAGTCCATTAATCCCCGATGTGGGCGAATTAATTTTGGGATGACATTTTCATAATTTTTTGGGCGATTTTTTGGAAAGGCCACTTTTCTTGGATTTTGAAGGCTACAGATCACGGATTTGGCCTGAGGCTATTCTTCAACGATGATTAAGTCCATTAAGCAGCGATTTGGGCGGATATCTTCCGAGTCCATTTTTGGCCGATCCCAAAGGGGTACCATCACCGATTTCAGACGATTTTCCCGAAATGCCATTTTCTTTTTATTTTGGAGGCTACAAATCACATATTCAACCCCAGGCTATTCTACACCGATAATGAAGTCTATTGATCGTATTCTCCGCAAATGATTGAGTCCATTAAGCACCGATTTGGGCTAATTAATTTTGGGATTGCATTTTCATAATTTTGGGCGATTTTTTTTTAAACCCCATTTTCTTTTGATTTTGAAGGCTACAGATCACGAATTCGACCTGAGGCTATTCTTCAACGATGATTAAGTCCATTAAGCAGCGATTTGGGCGGATATCTTCGGGGTCCATTGTTGGCAGATCCTTAAGGGGTACCATCACCGATTTCGGGCGGTTTTCCCGAAATGTCATTTTCTTTCGAATTTGGAGGCTACAAAACACAGATTCTACCCGAGGCTATTCTCCACCGATAATGAAGTCTATTGATCATATTCTCCGTAAATTATTAAGTCCATTAAGAACCAATTTTGGCGAATTAATTTTGGGATTGCATTTTCATAATTTTTTGGGCGATTTTTTTCGAAATGCCATTTTTCTTGGATTTTGAAGACTACAGATCACGAATTCGGCCTGAGGCTATTCTTCAACGATGATTAAGTCCATTAAGCAGCGATTTGGGCGGATATCTTCCGGGTCCATTTTTGGCAGATACCAAATGGGTACCATCACCGATTTTGAGTGATTTCCCGAAATGCCATTTTCTTTCGATTTTGGAGGCTACAGATCACAGATTCAACCCGAGGCTATTCTCCACTGATAATGAAGTCTATTGATCATATTCTTCGCAAATTATTATGTCCATTAAGCACCGATTTGGGCGAATTAATTTTGGGATTGCATTTTCATAATTTTTGCGCGATTTTTTTTTCGAAGCCATTTTCCTTGGATTTGGATGGCTACAAATCACGAATTCGACATGAGGCTATTCTTCAACGATAATTAAGTCCATTAAGAAGCGATTTAAGCGTATATCTTCCGGGTCCATTTTTTGCAGATCCTTAAGGGGTACCATCTCCGATTTCGGGCAGTTTTCCCGAAATTCCATTTTCTTTCGATTTTGGAGGCTACAAAACACATTTTCAACCCGAGGCTATTCTCCACCGATAATGAAGCCTATTGATCATATTCTCCGTAAATTATTAAGTCCATTAAGCATAAATTTATGCGAATTAATTTTGGGATGGCATTCCATAATTTTTTGGGCGATTTTTTTCGAAAGGTCATTTTCCTTGGATTTTGAAGGCTACAGATCACGAATTTGGCATGAGGCTATTCATCAACGATAATTAAGACCATTAACCA